AACCCAAAATCCTTAACCCTAAACCCCTAAAGCCCTAAGCCTCCCCTCCAGCCACGGAGCGCTCCAGGAGCTCGAAAACCTTCTCATTGCTTTGGAGGCTAAGGGTTGGTCCTATGGGGGGTTATGTAGGGGTTGGGTTTAGGGTTTAGGGTTTAGGGTCTAGGGTTTAGGGTTATATTGTGGTTATATTGGGGTTTTCTTGGGATAATGGAAAATAAAATGGAAACTACTACCATTTAGGGTTTAGGGTTTGGGGTTTAGGGTTTAGGTTGGGTACTGCCCCCACCCAGTAACAGTCTATACCAGGGGTCCTATTAAGGGCTATATATAACGGGGGCAGTACCCAATGTAGGGCTCATCTTGGGATATTCTTGGGGTTATATGGGGGCTTAAGGGTTCAGGGTTTAGGGTTTCAAGGTTTAGAATCAATATAGGGGTTCGGTAGGGGTTATGTTGGGATGATATTGGGGTTCTATGGGGGTTTAAGGACTACTATAAAGTTTAGGGTTCAGGGTCTATAGGGTTTAGGGTTCAGGGTTTAGGGTATATAGGGTTATATAGGGTAATGAAATGGAAGCTAGGGAACATATAGGGAACATTATAGGGCTTATATGAAGGTTATATTGGGATAACGGAAAAGAAAATGGAAACTACTGTTTAGGGTTTAGGGGTTTCGGGCAGAATGGAGGAATGGAAAACGAAATAGAAACTACTATAGCATCTAGGGTTTTGTCTTCAGGGGTACTAAGCAACTGCATTTACATTGGTCTTTATTTGAGAGTGTACTGTAAAAGCTTGAACAATTAGATGGCGCATGCGGTATACTGCTATGTAAGGTTTTTAAACAGTACGCGAATAATAATAATAGAATAATAATAAGAAGAAGAATGATGATAATATTGGCAATGTTGATAAGCCTTCAGGCTTCTACAGGCCTCTTGGCACCCCAGGGATATGCGGGGACTAGTAGGGATGATGAGGGTTTTAGGGTTCAGGTTTTTGGGAAAGCCTTCCCTAACATCCCCTAACATTGAACAGTCCCAATACCATATAACATACCACGATATTTGGGAGGGTGGGCTTTAACCCTAAACCTAAAAACGCGAGCCCTAAACCAACCCTAAACCCTAAACCCAAAAGAAACCTGTAGTCATCTCAAGAGACTCCCATACTCCAGCTTCGAAGGGGTTTCCTATTTATTGTTCATTCTTTCTCCCCTTTGCTTCTCCATTATCCTTAAACCCTTTTCCCTGTCACCCACCCAAAGGGGATCCAAGACTTCTATTTCATGTTTAATTGTCTTTAAGGCGTTCAGCTGCAGACTTTAGAGTTTAAGGTCTTAGCATATAGGGTTCTCTAGGTCATTTGACGCATCTCCACGACCTTTTACACAAGTTGCATTGGTTCTATGGCGCTTCATAAGGCTGCCGGACCCGTTTCCCAAAGACTTGTCTGGTGCTGTAGCGCTAGTGTTGCCCTCTCCGCCCTGATAGCCGTAAGCTTGACACTCCCCATAAACCCCGATAGAATCCCGGCTTACATTGCATATTCCTTGTTCTTCTCCATTTGATTCTCCATTCTAGGGGCGAATATCCCTGTAATCCCTATACAACCCCTATATAACCCCACTATAATCGCTGCCAAGCCCTATTTCATCCTAAACCCTTAAACCCTCAACCCTAAAATCCTAAACCGTCAACCCTCAACCCTAAACCCTCAACCCTAAAACCCTCAACCCTAAACCCTTAAACCCTCAACCCTAAAATCCTAAACCCTAAACCCTAAACCCTCAACCCTAAACCCTCAACCCTAAACCCTAAGCCCTAACCCACCCACACATTTGGGAGGTGTCGCCTCGTCAGAGCCCACTGGTCCCCCCGTGCCGGCAGCCGAGGCGATCACTTCATCCAGGCCCTGCGCAGTGGCTTCTTGCAACATTGGTTATGTAGGGGTTATGTTGGGATAATATTGGGGTTGTATGGGTGCTTAAGGGTTTAGGGTTTAGGGTTTCAAGGTTTAGAATCAGGTGAGTAGCGTTCTTTTGGTGGTTGAACCTAGTAAGATTATATTCCTTACATAAAATACTATACCCCATAAGGAGGACATAATCTTACTCTATATTGGATACCATAGTATCCCCAAATAAAATAGTACTCACATGGGATCCTACAAGGATCAGGGGTGTAGGGTTTTCGGGTTTTTGGGTTTAGGGTTTAGGGGTTGAGGGTTTTAGGGTTTTAGGGGTCTAGGGTTTAGGGGTTGGGGGTTCTAGGGATTATGTTTTAGGGTTTTAGGGTTTAGGGTTTTAGGGTTTAGGGGTTTAGCGTGTAGGCTTGAAGGTTTTGGGTTTTGGTGTTTAGGGGTTTAGGGATTATAGGATTATAGGGAGATTACCCTTATGTTAAGGGGGGATGACAGTAGTATTGAACAGAAAACGAAAACTACCCTTTAGGGCTTCCGGTTGAGGTATATTACCCCCAATAATGGAGGATCAAATGGAAAAGTAAATGCAAAACAAACTGGAAGCAGTCGACAGTCTGGCAGTTTCTTCTTACACTGGGGTTCTTGTGATGTTCTATAGGGGCTTACATAAGATTATATACATGTGCATCAGCATTCAGGGGTTCCCGCCCTCCCGAACCCGAATATAATTAACCCAACCCCCCCACCCCGGTTCTCTGCTCCCGTGGTCTGGGTTTAGTGTTTCAGATTAACAGCTGGATTTAGGTTTATGGAGGATTTATCATGTTTATAGAGGGGCTCTAGAAGGGTTTAGAAAGGTTTACATTGGGTTCATGGCTCCTACAGCCAAATTTCGGAGTATTCAAGAATTTGTCTGAGAGGTGCCTCGGGGGCTTTGAAGATCTTATAGAGTTTCATACAGGGCTTACAAAGATAGAGGGATTCTAGAGGGTTTGTATAGGTATTCTACAACTGTATAGAAGGCTTGCAGAGAGAGAGTTCCAGAGTTTTTGGTCTGGGTCCTGTGGTGAAGGTTAGTAAAGGTGGTGTACGGATAGTTCATGGTTCGTGGAGGTTTTAGATACGGCCTCATCCCCAGATCGGGACAATACGACCGAGTGGGACTGGGAACACGGAGCGCGGATGCATGATGCAGAGATTATTTAGGGACTATAGTGGCGGGAGTTAGGAGAGCACAGGCTGCAGCTGACTACAATGACTCCATGAGACATGAAGCTTGAGTCGGTATTTACAGTTGATTATGACCACAAATGGAAGCTAGTGGACGATGTAAGAGTCATTGCGACGGATAACCATGACAGTGACTGCCGATAGCGCATGGAAATGGCAACAGCTGCCGAAAGCTTGCAGACCAGCTTACGCAAATGCAGAAGCCTGGACAAACAGCAGTCCAACGTAGGCATATTTTTTCTCAACTGCAATTTAGATACAACAGTTCCCCACCTCAACATGGGTCTTTTCACTAACTAGGCATTTCGCCTGTTCAAAGCGGAGGCCGGGTGCAAGCACTGCATTAGCAAAGCAAGACTACTGAACACAGATGAATTCTACACAGGCAGAAACTATAATTGATTAAGACATCGTTCAAACCTTCCGAGCAGCGTAGGATGGACATCAATTAGCTACTCCTTCTCTAAATACTGTATCGGTCCTCTCATGTAGCCCAACATCTTAGGAGCCTGCTCGGGGATCCCCAAAACAACCTATCCGTTTGAGAAACTCCCACAAGTCATGTCGCAGGTAATCTCGGCTACAATGACAAGGGGTGCTAGAGGGCGCCTAATACCTCGATAGGGCCTAGCATCTTGGAGGGGGGGCAACCAAGGATTCTGCGTTGGTAAGCAAATCTTGGCCGCTCAGATTGAAAACTGTGAACCCTAAACCCTATCAAGACCGGAAAGGTGTCTTCCTGGAAAAACAAGACCACTACGATTCTGAAAAGCATATACAAGTGTCAGCCTTGTCCAGTTCCATAGCAACGCCGATTCCTTCTTTCGTTCATGAATGTCCATGACAACGGTTGCAATAGCCATCACTTAGATTCCGCCCACATCAACATCTGTCGTCCTCACAGCCTCTTCACCCTAAACCTCAAGCATTCAACCCTGAACCCTAAACCTCAAACCCTAAACCCTCAACCTTAAACCCTCAACCTTAAACCCTAAACCCCAAATTCTGAACCCTGAGCTGGGACTTCTCCTCTTCCTCCACCTCCTCCTGTTCCTCCTTTTGCAAGCACTGAACCCTGACCCTAAACCTGAGCTTACGCCCTAAGCCCCAAGACATGGTCCCTCAACGCGAAGATTCATTACGGGTTTAGGGTTTAGGGGTTTAGGGTTTAGGGTTTGGGGTTTAGGGTTTAGGGTTTAGGGGTTAAGGTTTAGTGTCTGGGGGTGCAATGAGAAACTTCAGGGGGAAACCACATGATTTACTATATGAGACTTGACTTTAATTCCTGTTCCCAAAATGAGGAGGACCCACAAATGTCGGGACACCCTAAACCCCAGACCCTAAACCCTAAACCCTTGTAAATCCCAACAACCTTTAAGTAGCGGCCTCCTGAATCTGCTGCATCTCCTCAGGCGGTAACCTTTTTTGCTTAGGGTTTAGGGTTTAGGGTATATGATTGGGGTTACGTCTAGGGAGTGATGGAAAAGAAAGGAACACGGAAACTACTACAGTATATGGGGAGTATATAGGGATATTAAACTTTCTGGGGGTAAGTAGAGAGTAGGGGAATATATTATACAGGTATTATGTGGGGATCATATTCCCTTATTCCCTACGAACCACCAATAAGTTTAGGGTTCAAGGCTTTAAGGTTTCAGGTTTAAGGGCTCTGGGAGTCTGGCCAAGAAAGTGGTGGGAGTTTCTCCAAAGAGGGTCTATAGGAGTCTAATGTGGACCCGTGATTAAGAAACCCCCTCCTTTTAAGGGCCTTAATATTAGGATCTCTATTATCATTCCCGTTAACGGAATGGGGTTTCTTAATAAGGGTCCACGTCAGGGCATGTCTGAAATTTTGGGTTTAGGGCGAATAGAGAGCTCCAAAGTCCTCTTAGCAAGATCTTACAAGTCTCTCTCTGTGTCTGAGTTATAAGAAACTGGGGAGTTCCGAAGATTAGTGGTACCACTGTGGGGTTCTCTATGTAACAAGGACTATACTATTTTATGGTGTCTATATATATTGGGGACCCCTTTTTGGGCAAAGTACCAACTGGACTGACACCGCTTCCGAGGCTTCGATTTCTCGGACTGTTAAAGGCGGGGCTTTTCAAATTGGGGGTACTCGAGAGACCCTAGGAATCGCGCCAAGATGTCAACCATGTGGACATCCCCCAATCATGCTCCCAACAAACCCCCTAATTCCCGGTTTCCATTTTCTTGCCCGTTTGATTCCCATCATTCTATCCCGAAGGTGGGCACGCCTAACCCTACACCCTTAACAGGACACAAACCCAAAGCTTATACAGGCGGTTTGAGAAATCTGCACAAGGATTAGGCCGTAACTCTACGAGCGGAGTCTTCTCACTGTCCTTCCGCGGAGCGGGTTTTAGGTTCAGGGTTTGGGCCTTAAGGTTCAGGCTTGGGGTTCAGGGATTAGGGCTTGGGGCTAAAAGGCTTAGGGTTCAGGGTTTTAGCTTTGGGATATTTTGGGGTTTAGGGGATTGGGGCCAGAGAGACGAGGATTTTTATGTTTTTCAGGATTCTGTATTTGAGGATCCAGGGGTCTTGCGGGGGTGGTACGAAGCTCGAGAACCCGTCGCAGAAGGTTTGAGTGTTTGTGAACTTGATTTCCTCCAACAGAAAAGGCCATACGGAACTATCCGGACTCCCAATGCATGGGTCCGAATACTTGTGTTTGAATTTGGCGGTAGAAAAGTAACTGTTTGCGGTAAAGGCGTGCCCGAATACTTGTATTTGCTTTTGGCAGTAGAAAAGTGACTGTTTACGGCAGTGACTGTTTGCAGTAAAGGGGTGCCCGTATACTCGTGTTTGAATTTTTGCGGTAGAGAAGTGACTGTTTGCAGTAAAGGAGTGTCCGAATACTTGTATTTGAACTTAGCGGTAGAACAGTCACTGTTTGCGGCATAGGTGTGCCCGAATACTTGTCTTTGAATTTGGCAGTAGAAAAGTGACTGTTTACGGTAGTGACTGTTTGCGGTGAAGGGGTGCCCGAATACTTGTATTCGAATTTGGCGGTAGAAAAGTGACTGTTTGCGCTAAAGAATGAATTTGGCGGGAAGAAAAAGTGACTGCTTGCGATAAAGGGGTGCCCGAATACTTGTATTTGAATTTGGCGGTAGAACAGTGACGGCTTGCGGTAAAGGGGTGCCTGAATACTTGTATTTGAGTTTGGCAGTAGATAAGTGACTGTTTGTGTTAAAGGGGTACCCAGAAACATGTGTTGGATTGCAGTATGTTCTGGGGGCATGTGTCCGTCTATGTTTGAAGAAATGCTTTTGGGCATGGTTCAGTGTATTTTTCGTAGCCAGCTCTTGTTTCAGTGTATGTTGTGGGGCGCTTGGGGGCATGTATTCGGCAATGTTTCAGAATGGCCAGACGTGCCTCTTGTAGATCATCTCAAATCTTAGGAGAGAAAGCCCCAAGTAGGTTCTACTACATTTATGCCGGCATCATGCAATCATGTTCTTAACCCTGAACCCTAAACCTTAAACTCTGAACCCTAAACCCCAAACCCTCCAGGCCATGGTTACCTGATCGAAAGGATTCGACTTACACGTGCGCAGATGTTTTATGCCGTCATTCTGATGCTTCATCTGGTTCTGGTCCCAACACTACTGTTGTGTAATTACAATGGAGCAGCGATTTTTTTGGTGGTTAAACCCAGCAAGATAATATTCCTTATATAAAATACTTTACCCCAAAAGGAGGATAGAATCTTACTCTATATTGGGTACCATAGCCTGTTGTGTAATTACAATTGTTCTTGCCAACTTTCTGCCTACACCCTAAACCCATCAAAATGCTGCTAGGGCAAGGATATGGAAGGTTCTCGAAATGCTCTCTGCTAAATCCCTAATAAGGGCCTCCGTAATCCCCTTATAATCCCTATCTGCATATATATATATATATATGAATCAGTGTTGATTAAGGGAAGCCCCGAAATGAGACCTTGCAAATACCCAGTTGCCGTTTTGTTTGTGACATTCTCCCAGGTGGTTGAGGTTTTGGGCTTAGGGTCTAGGGTTTGGGGTTGAGGGCCTGACCTGTACAACCTTACATCACCTTCCACTTAGATGGTACACACTTAGACCCTAAACCCTCCACTCCAAACTGAGCTACTTCTGCGAACAACCCTCTAACATGACATGACTACTACCTGCCACTACTTCTGGTACTGCCATACTGCTGCTACTACCAACATTACCGTCTTTGAAGTATGTCATATGGGTGGTTGTCAAAATTATGATCCCCTTTCTGGGTACCCTGGGTATTAGGTGCCTTATTATAATAGGGATCCGAACCGTAAACCCTAAACCCCCCATATAGGCTCCAAAAAAAAACCATAATGTTGACAACCACCTATCTGCTTTAATGTTGGAACAAGCCCTTCACCTCAAGCCTAAAACACGAAGCTGCGTGAGTGCATACTTATCATGGGTTCCCCTACTACCCCCGTACAGTTTAGGGTACAATATTAAATAGGGTTTAGGGTTTAGGCCCCCCCCCTAGGTTCCCCCTTAGTTAGCCTTAATTAGGCCTAAGTATCCCTAAACGGGTGGTTGTCAAAATTATGGTCCCTTTTTGGGTACCCTAAATATTAAGTGCCATATTATAATAGGGATCCAAAAAGGGACCATAATTTTGACAACCACCCAAATAACCTTAATTAAGGGGGGAACCATCCTCCAGTCCTTTGCAGCGCGCTCCGCTAGGAGAACCGCCTCATCTGGGTCTGCGAAGATGTCGAAACCGTCGGCCTTGTCTTGGAGCAGGGTCCCTTTTTCCCGTTCATGCTGGGACTCTTTAGATTTGTGTTCTTCTGTACAAAGCTTGATGAGCTTCGGCGTTGCCACAGAACGGACAATGAATTGAAAGTTTAACATACTGCGAGCTAAGTAGTTACCATGACAAGGATGACTGGGTTGCTGTTCAGGACCTTAAATTGAGCTACTACATCGGTGAAACCCTATTATTTAGTATAGATACCCATTATGGTAACTTAATTTAAGTTCCTTAACAGCGACCCAGATGATGATGAGCAGGGAGTGGAAGTGGTAGTGGCGGTGGTGGTGTTCAGGGTTTAGGGTTTAGGGTTTAGGGTGTGCAGGTCGAGTGGTGCTGACGCTGATGCTAGTGGTGGTAGTGGTGGTAATTACAACCGGTGGTCGTAGCAATGCCATCGGCAGCAGAGAAGACACGACAGCAAAAGAAAGGTGCAAGCACCGCCGCAGCCTGTTAAAATCTCTTCAGCCTCAAGCCAGTACTGTAGTTTCCTTTGACCTATAATAAAAATATCATTTTTAATATTTCCTGAGGGTTATACTATAATAAAACTTAAATAACTCTTAAGGACAGTACAGAGTAGACAAAAACTCTGCGCCTCGTGCTTCTTGCACAAAATTTCGGGCACCGAGTACCGCCTTGCAGCGAGCTGCACTTGACACTTCAGTGGCTTCTGAGTAAGAAACAACCCTGAAAGAGGATTTGACTCATTGATCCTCACAAAACCGTCTGCCATTGTGCATCGGCATGCCACTGATCGGACAAGCTGTTGTGGCTGCCTCTGACCCCTAACTGTCCCATACTTCTCATTATTTTTAAGTATGAGATTTCGCCACGGACTTTGCCAGCGCCTTACATTCCTGCACCATAGAGACCCATTATTACAAAGCTAGCGGCTGCCTCGTCAGACCGTTTTCTGTTGTCAGTTTGCCGCGGGTCTTCCGCAGCCACTGAGCATCTGCCAGCAGGTCTGCATGCACCTAGCTCAGCCAGGGATGAACTGAGCCAATCTGTTGTGCTGGGATGAAGCACTGTGCCCAGGCCTCAGCGATGTAGCGTAGCACTTCCTGCTGGTCTTCAGCATAGAAGTTTCCGACGCGAACTGCCTCTTGCCAGCTGAGGTTAGAGATCACAAAGTTGACAAATCACAGCCTTCTGCGCAAAACGAAACATGAGCAGCAGATGTCATTCAACCCTGGACACTTTGTATGCTGCGCATGATATGTGGCAGGGCTTATCACTGATCAGAGGCATGAGCTCGAAAACGGCCTCCAAGGCAATGTTCCGCTTCCTGGGCAGTTTGGGAATTCTTTGAATGGAGCAGCTGTCGCTTCCGATAGACCATGATATGACTGCGAAGGTAATCAAGAAAACAGGTGAAGGCCTCACACCGTGAACAAAAGCACTGAGAGAGCATTCCAATGCGGAGAGCTGGATGATGTCTATCCTGCCCGGTCGCATCTCCCGCCCCCTCAAATGCTGTACACTATGCCTCGCAGTGGAGACGTCGTATGAGGTAGGAGAAGACAGAGGTCCGTTCAGAAGGACACGCTCATACAAATGCTCACCAACATTCAAAGGAATTCCTGCAATATTCAATCAACGCACTGGACTGAAAGCCTATCTCACATTATGACGCAACGCAAGCCGCACTCCTGGATACACCTGGGCTGCAAGCATCGTCTCTGGCATGTCATCAGAAGTTGATCCGCACTGGCGGGCCTTGCGGCTAGAAGCCTCATGGGAGCACGGTATGATGTCACAGTTCTTCTCTCGCTTCAACCCTAATTTGCGCCTGTGAACCTGAGAACCTTTCCTCCCATCGGTTGCAGCATGTCCAGGTGAGGTGAGTTTGCTCAGTGTTTTGCACGTCATTGCACTTCTAACACATGGTAGTTTCCCTAAATAGGGGGACCCCAATATGGAGCCCAAAATACTACAGTCCTTTTTATACGGAACCCCCCCAAAAACGTACCCCTAATTTAGGGAAACTCCCACATGCTTTGTGTGTCTTCATTGACTTGCAAGGTGAACAGCAAGGCCCACCAGGTGGTAGGAGGAGGGATGCAAAGGGCGACCTGATTAGTGAGATCTCGAGACCGCATAGCAGGGATCCGGCAAAGACAGGCCCCATTACTTAATAAAGCTGAAAAACAAATGGATCTCCTTGCATACCCCAAACATATATATTTCAAATTCAGGAATCCCAAGAAGGTGTCCCTGGAAAACCCTCATATGACCAGAAACCCTTCAATCCCCTACATAATCCCAATTTCCATGTCATGCATGCTCCATGTTCTTTTCCACGTGATTCTGCATTCTGGGGGCAATATCTCTAGGGCCAGCCTCTACATCCAAGTGTATCCCCAAAATTACAGAAGACTTTCCATGCTCTTTTCCAGGTCCCTATATACCCCCATATGAGCCATGGTCTAGACTCCTAGTATGCCCCTGAATATCCTCTACAGTAGTCCCCTATCTAATCCCTTATATGACTTGACTCCCTTTAGATTATTATGACTCATACAAAGACATTCCCTGATCAAGTGACTGGCAGGCCTGCACAGTTTGTGGAACTCTTCCCTAAACCCTGAACCCTAAAAACTTAGACTTGCTGGCATATGTTATACTGAGTTCTTTATAGGAAATAGGGGGAACGACGAAAACTACTATAGTATATGGGATTATATGGGGATTATATTGGGATGTTATACTTATGGGTTGTCAGCAGGGAATAATATGATATGTTACATGGGGACTACATAGGGATTGTATTGCCTTATACCGTATTAACAACCTGTAGTTAGAATAGTCCGTCCTACTGTACGAAGTATATACAGGTTGTCAGACGATGATGCTGTTCGCAATCTTTCACGCTCCTACACTATTTTCAGGGTGGAAGATGCATAGATACCAAGATGGATTCTGCCATAATCTCTTGTGCAAAACAGCGCTAATCCCTATGCAATCCGTATATACCATATTCCCTTATTCCCTACTAAGCCCTTAAATCCTGCAGCATTTCGGAAGAGGCTGCATGTTCGGACTAAGATCCCCGACCTTTCTGCAGCTAAGTTCCGAACCTCGTTGGCTCGCGCCTGGGACAGGCTTGAAACAGAAATTAAAACAGCTGTGAAATCTTGAGCTGCTGTGGTTCGGCACCGTTGCGTCTTCACGCAAACATACTCGAACCCAAGTGCTCTTCAGGATTCAAATACTTGCTGGGCTCATTGGTGATCTGATCTGAAAAGGCGTGGCCTACGGATAACTTTTACCATTATGCGTGCAATGCAGGCGCCATGAAGGCAAATTTGACCTTGAAGTCAATAATAATGCTGGCGCTTACGATGATGACGATGGGTGTTGCGAGGACTATGTCATTGTGATGGTTTCTTTCATCACTGCTCTTGCCAGCAATTCTCAACATTGGGGTCCCTGTGTACTACGCTCACTATGACGAGTCGAAGCCAATCGTGCTGAGGCTGTGTCCGGATCCTGTTGACACCTTCGGCGCTTGCGCTTCAGCACCCGCAACCTCGGGGGTTCCCAAAATTAGGGGTGCTATTTTGGGGGTCCCTACTATAATGGAGAATCAAATGGAAAAGAAAATTGAAAATGAAATGGAAACTGGGATATATAAGGGAACATGTGCGCCTAATACCTCAGCTTGGATGTCCTAGAGAAACCCTTACCAGTTACAACAGCAATCTGGGCATGCAAAAATGCGTTCGAGTACTGACTTTAAGTACCGATGGCCAATAGACGTTGGACCCTACAAGGACCTCCCTGCACCTCAGGACCAGTGCCGTCATGCTCCGTTGTCTTTCCCATTTGATTCTCAATTATTTGGGGTCATGTCCCTGTATAAGCCCTACAGTAGATAGATAGATAGATAGATAGATAGAGAGACAGAGAGAGAGGGAGAGAGAGAGAGAGATATATATATATAATACAATATATATACATATATATATGTACACACACGAGAAGTTTGGGGCAGCGCCGCCGCAGGGGTGGAGGCCGGGAGAGCCGCGGAAGGCCCATGGCGGCCGAGGTAAATCGCTTTGGCGGGTCTAATGGTTTAGGGTGTTGGGCTTTAGGCCTAAACCCCTAAACCCTAAACCCTAAACGGTCTTAATTAATCTATGGATTATGGCTCAGAGCTTCGAGTTCGCAGGCCTTCGGGTTGGAGAGTTCCCTGACGACTGTTTCCAGGAACGGGAATGAAATCGTCTTGGGGTTCAGGTACTGCCCCAAACCCGAAGCTGCGGATTTCAAAGGTATTGGGACTATGTTTGGTAGGATTTGCGTTTGGGTCTCACGGTTTGGGAGTTAGGTGTTGGGCTCGTGAATTGGGGTGCGAGGTTTTTGCTTGTGGCGTAGAAGCATTGCTTGAGGATGGTAGTGATACACCCTAGATCCCAAACCCTAAGCTAGTAAACATGGCACGGCTAGGGACTGTGACTTGGGATATTGGAAGTCATTATCGCACAAATTTGGCATCCCAGACATAAAGCCAATTTCTTCACAAGCATGAGGTAGTTGCCGTCTCACGGGGACCACCGGACCAGTACCAAGTACTGGGAAACCAACACTAGCAGCCAGAACACGCAAGATCAGACATGTGGTACAGCTGTGACATGGCGGTTCTGGAACTTATACCGAGTCTTGCAAGAGCAGAGCTCGGTGAGATCTGACAGAAATTCAATGGTTTGTTGGGAAGCCCCCAACCAGGTGTGGTAGGTACCCTGTTGGTTTGATAGACCTGCACAGGTTCCGGCGACGCTCTTTTGCTGATTTGCGCGAGGCTTACCTGACGGGCGGGTTCTCAACGCAGCACTAGGGAGTGCAACCTTTGCCTCTTTCTGTATGGGCGTTTCCAAGCATTGAGGGGCCCTGATTTGGGGGTCCATATGATAAGGATGGTAGCATTTGGGGGTCCATGTTGGGCTTGCCTTGATGCTGAACACCATTG